GCCAGCCCCAGCCCCAGCCTCAGCCAGGTCGTCGAGGTCGCAGGGGTCCCCAGCCGCCCGGCCAGGTAAGCCCCGCTGCGGCCCCTGCTTCCTTGTGCCCCTTCCACCCATTAAGTCTGGTGGCCCACGGGGACCAGGGCTTTCGGATTTAAGGGAAATCGAACCCACTGTTCGATTCGGAGATACAAGGAGGGCTCTTGGATTTATTAGGCGCCCCCAATTTGTAGAGGTTAGATTCGGGGAGTACTGAGATTTTTAGGGGAAAGGGTCCCCTTTATTGTGGTGGAGAAGGCTGTCTCCAGAGAATCCCGGGGTTTTTTTCGAGGAAAGATCTCTAGTTTATTAAGGCGGGGGGGTGGGGGGCTGAGCTCTCCTAGAATGATAGAGACGTGTGGGGTCTTCGAGCTAGGATGGAGCTCCCCAAGTTTGTGGGCGCATAGGAGGAAAAGTGTTGGGGGATTCTGGAGGGACTTAATGAGGCCGCTGAGTTGTCCTGGTTTTCCAGGATTTGGGGGCTCTGTGTTCATGAAAAGGGACCTTAGGGTTTTTCGAACTGGTCAGGAAGACGTAGACTCTTGGGTTGATGGCGGAGGGGCTTGTGGGGAGTTGGGTGGGGTGGAGGAGTCCTCAGGCTTCAGAACGGTTGGGGATGCTCAAGTTTCCTAGAATTAGAAGACTCTGGGATTGAATGAGGCTTCAGTGATTTCACCGCGAGAGATCCAGGATTCCCTATAGATCTTGGGACTATAGGCGCCCTTCCTGTCTGCGGGTGACGGAACTGAAGGAAGCCGTCTGCCCAGCACCCCCACCCACCCTCCTCGCCTGGCGGCCCAGCGCTCCGTTACAAAGGCCCCGGGCTCCGCTCCCGCCTGGGTCTCTGCGAATGCGTTTAGTAACCCGAGCCGCGGCGGGGGCGGGGCCGGGAAGGGGTTAACCTGGAGAAAAGGCGGGAGGGATGACGGCAGGATCGGGGATCCCCGAGGCTCCCCACCAGATGGCCTCATCCTCCACTCGGCCCCACCCACCTGAGAGGGGCCCAAGCGCTAGATGCCCCCTTCTCTGCAGCCCCCCACTGCTCTCCTCTCGGGGTCTGGGCGTGCGCCCTAGTCTCTAGCCCCCCCTTAGCCTGGGGATAATGGACTTGTCTGGGGGGCCCCTTCATTGCGACGCACTTGAACCGGAGCTGGAAGCTCTGCCACTGAGACCCTCTGGGCTCGGAGATGTCTCCAAGAACGGCACTTTTCTCCTGGTCAGGCGGGAAACTGAGGCCCAAAGACCAAGAAACGCTGGCTTCTGGACACCCATCGTGGAAGGGCAAGAAGGGGCTAGAATTCAGGCTCTGGGATTCTCGGTCCTGGACTGTGACTCCTGTATCCCCTCCACCTCAGCACCCTGCTGGACCCACAGTCAGAGGGAAGAGCCTTCCCTCCCCAGCTGCCGAGGCCTTTGAAAATGGCGCCACCTGTCGGCCAGGCTCAGGATGGCGTCTGAGTCCCGGACCGGGATGTGCGAGAGGGCGGGGTTCTAGATTCCCAGACAGTCCCGGCTTAGAAATGCTTAGAAATCGAGTCTTTTTTGTTTTTGTTTTTAAGTCACTTTTAAAAGGCTTTAAAATAACGTTTTTTTTTTTTAATAAAACCTTACTGCCAAAACCTCTTCATAAGACAACAGTACGGTTTCTGTGCCCTTCAGCCCGAAGTCTAAGCCAATTTGCCTCCCATTGTACAGATGGAGAAACTGAGGCATGGGGAGAAGAACCTCAAGTTAGTCATATACCTGTTTCAAGCCCCCTCAGGATTCGTCTTGGTTTCCCCTCCCCCAATTGCCCTCCTTTGCAGAGTTCTGGGGTGCTAAGGGCTTGAGTGACTTCCACCCCACTATTTATAGCGTTGCTGCTTGTCGCTGCTGCCCAGGCCAGACGTCTAGGAGGAGCCGCTGCATCCGAGGTGGGTTCTGGAAGATGGAGTATGAGTAGGGGGCAAAAGGGAGTAGGAGGAGAGGGCCAGGGAGCTCCCCATCCCGTCCCTCATCCCAGTGGGAGAGCTGGATGCATTTGGTAGAGAAGTACTTGGTCCCCTCCTTCCCCACTTAGTCCCTGGCTGTCTCCGAAGCCTCCTGCAGGGTCCAAAACTGCCAGCCCAAAAAGTGTGCAGGCCCCCAGCGGTGCCTGAACCCAGTGCCTGCAGTGCCCAGTCCCAGCCCCAGCGTGAGGAAGAGACAGGTGTCCCTGAACTGGCAGCCACTGACGTGAGTGGGCAGTCCCTCCCCTACCAAATCCTCCCTCAGGAACTCCCAGCTTTGCCCCCGTTTCCTCTCCCCCTCCCTCCCCCACTCCCTCCCTCCCTCTCCCCACTCCCTCCCCGGCTCTTTCTTTTGCTATCAGCCTGTCTGTCTGTTTCTATTTCATCCCTTCCCTGCCTATCTCAGGCTCTTTCCATCTCTGCATTATTTCTGTCTCTTTCTGTTTCTTTCTAGTTACCTGTCTCTTTTCCTCTCTCTCTTTCTCCCTGTGTCTCACTGCCTGTCTCTATGTCTAAGTCCCTCTCCCACTTCTCTCTTTCTCTCCCCCCACCCCCATCATCTCTCTTTTTCTCAGGGTCTTTGTTTCTCTCCCACTAGAGGCCTGGTCCCCATAAATGGGTGTTGTGGGGGGAGGGCTGGGCAGAGCCGCTACTGAAAGACATTTTCCTGGCATGGAGGCCCTTTGGTGGGGAGGTCAGCTTAACCCGGTGACAGCAGCTTTTCCGTCCTCTCCCACCCAGGCTGCAGGAGGCCAGAGCTCTACTGAAGCGGCGGCGGCCCCGGGGGCCTGGGGGCCGGGGACTACTGAGAAGGAGGCCCCCACAGCGTGCCCCCGCTGGCAAGGCCCCGGGTAAGCACATCCGCCTTTCCTCTGCCTGGGGCGAGGGGGGTTCCGGGCCAGATAAAGCCGTCTGGTTCCCACGGTCCTGCCGCCGCCTCCCCCCCCCCGCCGCCGTTGTAGCTCAGCCCCCACCCCCAGGACAAGGCCCCCTCTAGGGACCCCAGCGTCCGGCCCTGCGAGGTGAGCCCGGGACAGGACCAGACGCAGGCCAGAGGCACTGACCCGTGGGGGTGGGGCCGGGAAGCCAGGCGTCCGGGCTCCCAGCGGCCGAAGAGGGAGGGCGCTGGCCCAGCAGAAAGCTCCGCCGAACCAGCCCAGACAACAAAAGCGATTGTGCGGGTTGGCGCCTGCCTGGGCACCGAATGCTCAAGATTGCGGGGCGGCTGGGGGCCAAAGGCCTCCTCCTGTTTCCCGAATCCTCCCCCTGCCCTCCTCCCACTCCAGCTCTCGACCCCTATTCTAGAATACCCCTCATCTCAAACACCCTCAAAACCCTCCTCTTGCTGTGGCCTTCAGTCCAGATGTGACCCCTCCCCCTAAAGTCTTCCAGATGTGAGCCTCGGGCCAGATGTTATACCCCCGCCCACAGTCTCCCTTTATCCATTGTGACTTCTCCCACCAGGTGTGGGGTTCTGGCCAGATGTGGCTGTATCTTTGGATGTATTCCGCCCCCGCCCAGCCTCCTGCCCAGGATCTAGATGCCCAATTCCTTTATGTGCCCAGGTGCAGCGACCCTTCTCCCATCCCTCAGATGTCCCACCTGACTGCCCAGATGTGACATGATAGCCCCCTATCAAGATGAAGCCCCTTTCTCTGTGCCCAGGGCAGAAGAGGATCAACTTTTAGCTGTCTCCCCAAATGCGGCCCCCACTACTCTTAATGGATTTCCTCTTTATGGATTCAGCTCTGTCTGGGGGGAAACCCGCCCGCCCCCACCTGTTCCCTTCCCCGCCGCTCCCCTACAGGCCTGGTCCACTTGTTGGTGCGCGGATGGGGACAGAGGGGGCGCCCCGCTCACCCCTGCGAGTCTAGCGCCCAGCCTGCGAGCCTCTGGCTAAGCG